TCTTTCACCAGAATACGGTAATTTTCTAAGGAAATGGAGATGTTAGGCAGTCAAAATCAATAGGTGTCCACAACAGGAAGTGATATGTTAAATTTTAGTTTCTAGAGCTTGTTTATCAGTATAGTCAATCCACTTTTAAAGAGTAAACCAAGATTGTGGAAATTTTATTCTATTAAGGGTCACAAGAAAAAAATAGTATCAAAATGCACATACATAAAAGCCTATACAATAAGGAAGAAACACACCAATAATTCTATTTAACTACTTTTTAAAATTCACCTAAAGCATAAAAATTAAGCTATACCTCAGGCTTTATATAATTTAAACATTTTTCCACTTTATATATTTGAAAGGGCTTACCTGACTCCAGAACGTGCTCAGATAAGGTTTTATTTGTAGGCACAGAAAGCCAGAAGGAGAAAGTGAATGCAAGCAATCTTCCTGTAGCAGCTCCTATGCAAGATCCACGTGGGCACTTACATGCAAGAATTGTGCAGTCTTCAGCTGCAATCATCAAGGTGTGGCTTCTGAAAAAAGACTTTTTCTTTAAGAGAAACTCTCACAGAGGCCCTTTAAATGATCTATCCAGCTGTGCCAATCAGTGCTCTGGGGGCTTCCAAGGGAGTTTAGATCTTGAACAACACTTCATGGGTCCCATTGGCCTTATCTTGGCCAAGGATTAAAAGCCATATATTCAGCCATCTCCAAGCCCCAGCTTTCAATCAACTGTACTTCCACACTCACTAGGAAAAGTACACCAACCCCCACCAATTCAGATTAGTATTAACATCAACAATGTGATTCTCCAGTCATTGTATTTTCTAGAAAATCACTGTCCAGTAGAAATATAGCATGAACTGCACGTGTAACTTTATATTTACTTTTAACCAAACTAAAAACAGTAAAACAAAACAGGTAAAATTAAATTTAATAATAAATTTCATTTAACCATCAGTATGCAGAAATGTTCATCATGTAATCAAACATATAAATTGACATTGTTCACATTCTTTTTGAAGTTATTAAAATACAGCACATTTTATCTTTCACTAGCCACCTGTCTGGTGCCCAGCAGCCACATGCAGCTGGTGGCTACCATACTGGACATCGCTCTCACTGAGTGCAGTGTAACAGCTGTAACAGTTGGAAAATACATCCTACATTGGAATTGGCAAAATTATTAAAATTCATTTTTTTCAGTTTTTATTCACTTTTTTCATGAAAATTTATTCAACAGACATTTACTGAATACCTCTATGTGCCAGAGATTAAATGGTGGGAATATATTGCCCTTCTAGAGCTTATAGTCAAGTGAATAAAAATGATCAATAGACTAAAACCATAAACACTGATAAAGACACACATAATACAGTGTGGAAGCAAAGAAGTAGTAGTTGTTATGATTTTGGCCGAAGGGTGTAGGAACAATTTAGGACTTTAGGACATTAGCTGGATCTGAAAGGGACATGTGCTATAAGAAAAGAGTAAGGCAAGATTATTTCAATGAGAAGGAATACAGGCACAAAGAAGTAATCATATTCAGGGTATTTTAGAAAACTGCTAATAGTCTGATATAACCAGAGTTTAAAATTTCCTTGAATGAGTTGCAGGAGAAAACAGCCACATACAGAAACAAGACTATACAAAGTATGCTAAGAAGTTTGAACTTCACGATGGAAACCTAGTAAATGAGTTTAGTGTGAAACCTACCATTTACATTTTAGTAGTGGTACATTAGGGGACCAGAGGTCAGAAGAGAGTGATCATTTAGGAAATTTTTGTATTTATAAACAGTAAATAAGGATTTCAGTTGTGAGAGAGGAAATGAGAAGAAACTAAAATGCATTGATGAAATTCTGGAATTAATATCAATAATACTTAGATCAGTTCATTGTGGCTGAGTGGTTAAGGCATCTGGGGAAGTAGGGCATAGTGAAAGATAAAAAATCAGATATGGCACATAGGTTTATGTGATTTATTGTCAGGTGTGATTAATTAATGAAATCTTTTCAGTGACTCTTCAAGGCAAGGAGCAGGTAGTTAAAACATACTTTTTTGCTCCTCTGGTGTCATAGTACTTAAATAAAATGACACCTAGTGGTGAAATCTGGTTATCCTCTAAATGTTCTTTATATGTGCTTTGTAAAAATCATGCCTTCTTCCTGTTACTTGTTTTGATTAAAAAATTGTTAGCCTAGTATTACAGATAAATAAATTAACCTTTCTGGACCAGGAACAGTAATCGATGACATGATTTAAAACATCTGTGTTGGAAAACTATCAGAACATGCTGATCAAAAGGACTCACTAATTTCTAAGCTAAATAATAGAGAACGATTACTATAAAAACAGCAACATTTTTGTGTCCAGAGATAATGAAACTTTCAGAATTCTTAGGGGCCGGGGATTTAGCTCAGTGGTTTCTCTGCCTACCGCACAAGCACAAGGACCCGAGTTCGATCCCTGGTACCTAAAAAAAAAAAAAAAAAGAATTCTTGCAAGGAAAAAAGTCAACTTATATAGGAATAACAATTAGATTGGCCTTATACTTCATTATAAGTCTGAATGGTAGAACACAATTGAAAAATACTGAAAGACTATTGAGCAAGAAAAGAAGTTAAGAATTTTATACTTAGCCAGATTTTATGCAAGATATTCAAGCTCTGTCTTTTAGTGTTTATGTAAAATACACCACCCAATAACCTTCTTTTGATTTGATCTGTTTTTGGTGGTCATTGTTTTATCAAAATTATGGTTAGTCTTTTTTGCATGTTGTTTTTCTTAATCTACTGTACTTTAAGAAAATCTGTCCAAGTCTTCTGGCATCTGTCTTCAATGGCTCTGTAATAGCCAGTTGTTTGTGTCATATTTATTCAGCCTTTCCAAATTAATGGGCATTCAGTTTAGCTTCTTTTTTTTTGGTACCAGGGATTGAACTCAGGTCCTTGTGCTTGTGCAACAGACAGCAAAACCACTGAGCTAAATCCTCGGCTTAGCTTCATTTCTTAATCACTACAAATTATGTTGCAGATACTGTTCTTGTATAAACTTCTGAAGAATTGGCTCTTTTGTTGCTGTGGACAAAACTTTTAGGAATATAAAAACTTGGAAACAGATTTATTTATATTTCTAAAGAATGTCCTCACTGCTTTTCAGAGAGACAGTAAGCAGTATCCTTCATAATTCAGCAATGAAGGCATCAGAGTCTGGGTTCTTATTTTTGTGTAGTTTAAAAAAATTCTTTGATCTCTTCACTTATTGGTCTATTCAGATTTTTTTTTTTTTGGTTACTTTTAATGTGTCTTTCTAGGAACTTGTTCATTTTCTCTACGATATCTCATTAGTTAGCATACTTTTTCATAGATCCCTTCATATTTCTTTTTCTGATTCTGTGACTTGAGTTTTCTCTTAGTCAATCTAACTACAGGTTTGTCAGTTTCATCTCAAAGTGTCATGATTTTTCTTTGATTTTTGCCTTTAACCCAATGGGTATTTAATAATGCATTAATTTTCACATACTTTTTAGTATCTCAATTTTATTCTCTGCTAGTGATTTTTAATTTCATTCTGTTTTGGTAGGAAAGCTTACTTTGTATATGTTTATGCTTTAAATTTTATTATTGAGATTTACTTCATGGCCTAGCATATGGTCTTACCTGAAAATATTTTATGTGTACTTGAGAAGAATGTATATTCTGTTTTTGTTAGGCAGCATATTCTATAATGTCTATTAGGTGTTGGTAATTTAAGTTGTTCGGCTCTTCTATTTTCTTGTTAATCTTCTGTTTACTTCATCTGTACATTATTGAAAATGGTGTATTGAGGTCTCCAACTTTTATTGTTGAAATGTCGATTTTCATCTTATTTTTATCTATTTTTATGCCATGGTTTTTGGTGTTCTGATGTGAGATACATATATGTTCAAAATTGTTGTCTTTCTGGTGAATTGTCCATTGGTAAAAAATTCTTAGACTGCTGATAGAAATTTAAATTGGCAACAGTCTTTCTGGAATTTATTTTACCTAGTTATCCTTTTTCTGGGAATTATTCCCATGGAAATAGTCACTAATTTATTCACTAGTTAAATAATTATTGAAACTCACTATATGCCAAACAGTTGTTTAGCCACTAGAGAATCAGCAGAACACATAGAAACACACACAATATGAAACCACTTTTTTTCCTGGAATTTATATTCTTGTTGGTTAGCCAACCAAGAACAAAGGAATAAGCATAGAATATATTAGAATGTGATAAGTGCTGTGAGGGGAAAAAAAGGTGTGAAAGAGGATAAGATGTTTTGGGTAGAGGTATATTTCTTGGGATTCCCAAGGCCATCCTCAAATTTGGTACTTGCCGGAAAAAAAAAATAATAATCTTGAGAGTAATTAATCTCTAAAAAAATAGAAAATAGAATTTTTTTGAGTTTTTTATGGTTTCTACAATGAACATCCAGAAATTGATAATGAAAATTACAAACTTTTAAAAAATAAAAATTTTTCGATAAATGAATTTCAGATAGGTTTTAGAAAATTGGTGTATTTTAGCACATTCAGAATTGATGGATGGCTTTTACTTTAGGAGAATAAATATAAATGAACTTATTAATAGTGTTTAATTTTTTAGCCTTTCTCATTTTGGGTGGAAATATGATTTATTTTACTCAAATCTTACTATTTTAAAACTTACATTCATTTAGCAAATTCAACTTATATTTTACCTATAATTAAGAACATTGGAAAGACTATCTTTTCTGTTAGTAGTATTTTACCACATAAATGTTGCTTTTAAATTATTTAGTTTGCCTTTTAGCAGTGAATTTCAAATTTCAAATAGTTTTCTCAGTCATTTAAAATTATCTTATTATTTATTAGACAGTTTCAAAATCATGTTAAAATGTTTCATGGTGTATTCATTGTACTTCACTTTTCTTTTCAGAATTATCAGTGTATTAGAGTAATTTAAAATTTTAGAATTTAATACAGGAAAATATATTTTAGGAAAACAGTTGAAGGATGGGAAGAAGCCAGAACCATGCAAACCTATCCTCAAGGTGGAATTCAAAACGACTAGATCTGGGTAAGATTTTACTTCATTGCCAATATTTATTGTATGTAATAACTTGTGTAGCATGGAAGACTATTTTATTATTATTATTATTTTTTGGGGGGTACGGGGGATTGAACTCGGGTCCTTGCACTTGCGAGACAGGCGGTGGAACCACTGAGCTAAATCCCTGGCCCCTATTATATTATCTTTGAAGAAAATAGAATGGTCTACCTAGCCCAGTCTAAACTTTTATTCTTTCTTTATATAATAAAATAACTGAAATTGGTAAATTTAGGATAAAATACTTTGTATTCTTTCGTTTTAGTAGTTGTACTATATATCTTGAAAGTTTCAATTATTTTTCTTATCAGTCTTCATATATTATTAGATTAGTTTTTGGAAACAATAAGTTTATTCATTAATGAGAGCCGTGGAATAAGCAGTGAAGGAAAGATTAACATTTAACATAACTATGCTCTATATGTTAATTATAAAAGTTATTGTGTTCAAAAATTAAATCTCATGAAATTATTTGGCAGTTAAATACTTTAATATTAAAATAATTTTGTCAGTTATATTTGAAGACATTGGTTGTTACTGTATAGATTACATGTGAGGTACTTTAGGTGCATTTTACAATTTAAATACATATGTTTGTATATTTCAAATGTTATATTTAAAAATGTAAAAGGAAAATCTTATCTGTTGTTTCTTTGAAAATTTTACATTTCTTTAACCTCTGAAGGAACCCTTTTATTTATGTTCTAGTTCCCAGGGAAAGTATATAATTTTATTTACTGTAGCTTTATAAGAGTGAATTTATGTAATATAGCACAATGATTTTCAAATTGTGGTTGCTGGACCCACAGCACTGAGAACTTATTAGAAATGCAAATCTTCAGATTCCGCCCCACCACTACCATCACCACTGTATCAGAAACTCTCCGGAGGGCCCCAGCAATCTGTTTTAACTAGACCTGCAGCAGATTCTGATGCTACTAAGGTTTTGAACCACTGACGTTTTTTAAATGTACACGTGTATAAATACTGATATTGGAACTCTCCCATTTCTCTTTTTATCTGTTCTCCCATCTAATTCAACTTTGCTCTTTTGTCTTTTCAGAAAAGACAGTAGGCTGAAAAACATAAATTTGCCATTATTTTTTTTCCTTCATTCTCTCTGGTCTTCTGCTGAGATCCAACAGATATACTATGTTCAGACAGTAGGTTGAATGAACAGCAAAAGGTATAGCACCCATTTAATTACTGTGCCATCCCTCTTTATGTGACCTTTGGCACAGAATTTTTTGATGTCTTTGTGCTTCAGTACCCTCACATATGACAGAGATGCATAAGAGGTCAAACACTGGTTGTGATGACTTAAGTGAGATGTGCATATATGCAAAACATTTCACACATTGCCTAGCATATTATAAAATATAAATGTTGGAGAAACCATTTTTATTAGGAAAACCCCTGCCAACAATTGATTTTTGTCCTGTTTGTCCTACAGTAAACGATTTAGTAGAAAAGCATGGTAACAAAACAAGAAAAAAAGGGGAAGCAAGCCAGAAAAAAAACTGTAATACAACATAAAATATATTGCTTAAACATTTAAAGGAATGATGCTGGTTGCCTTCTGAATTCTTATCCATTCAATTTAACAATTACTGATTGACAAGAAAGGGAATAGTACTGGGAAGATGTTTTTCCTCAGTGGTCACCTGTTCCTGTTTTCTCTCCTATGTAGTGTTGATACACATGCATTCTAGATTTCTTTAAGATGAAAGCAATATTTTTCCTTTCATATGATTAGAAGTGAAATTTTTAAAAAGTGCTTTGTTCTTTTGTAGGTATCTCGAGATGCTATTAAATAGATCAGTACGATCACCCTCTTGTAACAGTCTTCCAGATTCTCAATTTCTTTTCTTTTTAAGATGGAACAAGAAATTCAGTAAATTTATTTTTTTTCCTTCCCCACCCTCTTTTCTTGAAATAGCTCCTCAATATTATAATGTTGAAATTGAGGACTACCACACTACTACTTCTCACCTAGAGGAGAATCACCCTTTATTAAGTATGCTAGGCAGCTCTCACCTTTTATTCTATTCCTTGGGTGTGTCTTAAGTAGGTACCAACAGAATGTTTCAGTTCCTTTTGGCAAATTAACCAAATTTTATAGATGACTCCCTCAAGGCCATCTATTGTTTCTTCTCTTTGCCTAGAAATCATTCTAGGAGGGAAGAATCTCTCTCATTTATGATACCACAGCATAAACCTTAAAGATATATTAACCTTATTTGCCTACTTTAGTTCCTCCAGTGATGTAGTCTGAAGCCAGGCAGTACTTTTCCTTTCTACATGCTGTAATAATGAAATTACTGGACGTATGTCTCCCCATTAATATTGCGCTTGATGAAAGCATGTCTCATTTCTAATTGTCTGGTTCTTAGTGTAGTGTTACTAAATGTGATAAATTCAGAATGTAAGTAAAGGTAGGTATATATGAACTGTAGCAGTGAAGAGTTATCTATTAATGGTAAATGCATAGTTGAACAGTGAGGGAAACTGACCAAGAATAGAATCAAGATGTTATATTGCTTTTATTTTCTACTGAAGTAATGCAAATAAAGCATATATTATACCTAGAGAGACCAAATTTTCTCTTTCCTAGGGAATAATGACAAAATGATTAAGAAAGAATTTTAATAGTACTTTTATTTGAGATATGAAACTATTCTTTACCTGGTCAGCTCTTAATTGAAATCTCAAAACATCAAAAAGTCAAAAGTGAGTTCTGTTGAAGTCAAATATGACCTGGGCATGGAGTCCTGTGGTGATTAGCCCCATCTATCAGCAGAGTGGTTGGGAGTGTAAACTCTGGAGCCACACTACTTGGGTCTGAATCTCACTTCCAGTGTGCAATTAGGGGCAAACCAGCTATACTTTCTGGGTCTGTTTCTTCATCTGTAAAATTGTAATAATAATAATAATAATAATAATAATATTGGCAACCTCACAGTATTATTATGAAAATTAGATAGGCAGATTAGTAAAGCAGTGGTAACACTCTTCACCTCAGATGTCTCACATATGTGGTGTCTCAAAACAGCATTTGATGCCCTCCAGCAAACATCTAAAATGTAGATGTTCTTCATTTTACTTTCATAAAGGAAGTCCACAAGTGGCACAGTCGACCACACTTTATAAAGAACCAAATATTCTTTCCTACATTGAAAAATTTCTTGTCTGAAAGAAAAACACTGAGATTTACTGCAGTAATTTAAAAAACAATGAGAATTAGGAAATGACGATTCACTAGTGGGTTGTAAAAATAATTTTGTTGGTTATGAGCATCAGTTCTTAACTGATAGAGTAGGAAATAATAATACAGTGCATTGCACATCTGAGGATGTTGGTTCATGAAACTTCCAATTTATATATTCGTGTACCAGATCATGAAGGTAAATAATAATTCTTATCATGGGCCATGAGCAAAATATTTGAAAGCCCTTGACTGAGTAGAAATAATTGAGGCTTTGTAAGACTTGCTTTACTAATTAACTTTCACCAATTACTATTATCTTTAGCAAGTTGCTTTCCTTCATTTCACCTTTTTTATTTCAATAAAATAGTAATAGTACTTCCTTCTTGATGAAGAGCTAAAAGAAATAATATGTGTCTGGAACACGAGACATATTTGACAAATTCTAGATCATTTTCTTATTTCTTCACTTTTGTTTTCACTGTGGACTATGTAGGATTTTTTAAGCAGGGTCAAATTTTTAACAAGAAGCAACTTAGAATGGGTTCAGATTTTCAGATGGGTTTTCATGTGACCTCTTGAGAATTTTGTACTGCAGAGCAGAAGAGTTAGTTTCTCTTCAGAAATAACTTCTGTTCTAAGAGTCACCAGCTTTAGGGGAAGATCTCTGTTATGAAATCTGAAAGTGAAGCTTATTATAGTTAAATACAGCAGCGTAGCCACACTTACAGAATCACACCTAAGAGATTAATTGCTCCCTTTCATAGTAACACATACTAGTGTAGATACAAATTAAGGCAAAGTTTTTCTGTTATGGTGCCAGAAAGTAAATATTTTAGATTTATTGGCCATATAATCTATTTTGGAAATATTAGGTTCTGCTTTTGTGGACTCAGAGCAGCCACAGGCAGTAATGAATGAATAGAGCTATGTTCCAATAAAACATCGTAGGCACTGAAATTTGAATTTTATGTAATTTTCATGTGTAATGAAGTATTTTTTGTGTTTTTCCCCTCAAGTATTTAAAAATGTAGAAACTATTCTTAGTTTGCGGGCCATACAAAAATATGCAACAGGCTATAGTTTTGCTGACCTTGGGTATACATGTACATACATTGATTGATACCATACACATCCATGATGTCTTTATGTTTACATAAAAGTTATTTTTGTCATTGTTTCTCACTTGGTACTAGTATATAAGTGGTTTAAAAGTTGATTTCTTTAATTTTAATGGGAAACTAGCTATAGATAAATTACTTATATAAGAATTTACAAAAAAACAGATTGTAATAAAAACCCAGGGTGGATTTATGATATTCTAGTTCTGAAAAAATGGCTTCAAATGGCTTGCTAGTTAACCTTCTCCCTTTGTGTTCATTTTACTTTAACTATGTTAATCCAAAGGATTCAGTCTTTGATGAGTATACTATCTTCAGAGGTAGACAATCTATTAACTATCCAGATATATCTATATTATTTTTATTCTCTCAAAACTAGAACATTTTTCCTAATCTTACTCCCCAAACATCATACATAATTAGAAAAAAAAAAGAGCGAAGTAAATGTTAGATAATAGGAATTAGGGAGATCTTTTTCAAATGAAAAAAAAAATTTTAAAGGCATATAATTAGTTCCAATTGTATTAATTGCACTATTACTAATTACATATTTTATTAGTCTCACTTTTAACTACTGGTGATTATTTTATGAAGTGTTTTGAGGAATAGTTACATTTTTAAAAACTTAAAATATGAAATTTAAT